TTCTATATTGAAATATATATTAAAATATGTTTTAAAATATTTTTCAATATATATTTTTTATTAAATATTGTATAAATAACCGTGTTCGTTAAAACGTGAATCGTAGTTATACAAAAAAAAATATAATCTGGTTAAACAACATCCGCACGCATTTTATATAAATATGTACAGTGTGTATATACACACGCTATTACGTGATGTTGTGTATATTGTTTAAGATAAGTCCACAAAGCTCCCCCGTGTAGCCTTCGCAGGCATTTGGGGCAAGTGTAGCGAGCACCTTTGACGCGGCAGGAACGGCACTCGCCCGGCCGCCTTTGTCTCCCCAGTGCTGATGTGTACACACCGCACGAGGTAATCGTTTAAGGCCGAGTTGACCTAAGGGAGGCTCGGGGCTGGCTTAGAAATTCGCCACTGATGTTGGCCGTGAGCGGGAATCCAATTCGGGTTACCGGATTTGGAGAAACACTTTAACTACACACACACATATATACACACACAAAACAAAGATAAAGATCCCCCTTATAGCCTTAACACGACGTGGGGACAAGTGCTGTTAGTGAGTAGCACCGATGAAGGCCGGCATAGCACACGAGGGGGTGGGTGGCCAGCACCACGCCCGACCGCCTTTGTCTCCCCAGTAACGATATTTTTTTACACACCGCAACACGTACTCATTTGAGGCCGAGTCGACCTAGGGAAGGCCCATGACTGGTTCAGATAATCGCTACTGGTGTTGGCCGTGAGCAGGAATCGAACTCGGGTCGCCGGGTTCGTAGCGCAGCGTGTTAACCACTACACCACCGCTCCCCACAATGCACACACACATACACACACATATACACACACACTTACACACATACACATATACACACACACTTACACACATACACATATACACACACACTTACACACACACATATACACACACACATATACACACACACATATACACACACACACATATACATACACAAACTCACAGTCCTACATATACAGACGCACACACACGTAGGAGTGTATGCAGTGCATACAAAAATAAAGATCCCCCGTGTAGCCTTAACAGACTGTTGGGGCAAGTGCTGTTAGCGGGCACCAATGAAGGCAGGCACGGCACACGAGGGGGTGAGTGGCCAGCACCACGCCCGGCCGCCTTTGTCTCCCCAGGGGCCGATGTTCACCCACGGCAATTGGGAGGGCGCTACGAACCGGTTCAAGACATTCGCCACTGACGTTTTTCGTGGCCCTGTGCGGGAATCGAACTCGAGTGTCGCCAGGTCCGTAGCGCGCACGTGCGACACAGACAAAGATCCCCCGTGTAGCCTGCAACAGACTGTTGGGGCAAGTGCTGTTAGCGAGCACCTGTCAAGGTACACGTGGGGGTGGTGGTGAGTGGGCAGCAACACGACCCGGCCGCCTTTGTCTCCCCAGTGGCGATGTTTACACACCGCACCCAGGTACTCATTTGACCCGCACCTTCGACTAGCACGCTTGGCTACGTACCGTGCGAAAGAAGTTCAACACACACACGCACATAGTACACACACGCACATTGTACACACACGCACATTGTACACACACGCACATTGTACACACACGCACATTGTACACACACGCACATTGTACACACACGCACATTGTACACACACGCACATAGTACACACACGCACATTGTACACACACGCACATAGTACACACACGCACATTGTACACACACGCACATACCACCAACAACAACAGTATGTACAAAACAATTACACGCACACACGTTTACACACACACATATATATATAACATAAACACGCACGTACACACAAAAACACACACATATTAATATATATAATGTACTATGCGTGTAAACATATACACACACACAAACACATCGGTAAAAGAATAAGCAAATCATTTGGCGATGCTGCTGCTGCCGAGTTGGCAGCCTCCCTTACGAGGAAGAACAAATAGGCGACGTTTCGTACCATTGCCCTTTTTCATGGCACGTAGCAGGCATATACGTTCCATTGTAGGCAATGTGTTATATACTCACAGGCACAAATGCACACACACACGTGCACTTGTAAACAAACACATGTATTTACGTTTATATTTACATTCACATACACGGGCATGCACATGATGAATACAAAGATCCCCCCTTGTGTAGCCTTAACAGACTGTTGGGGCAAGTGCTGTTAGCGAGCACCTATGAAGGCACACGAGGGGGTGGGTGGCCAACACCACGCCCGGCCGCCTTTGTCTCCCCAATGGTGATGCATACACACCGCACCAGGTATTCATTTGAGGCTGAGTCGACCTGGGGGAGGCCCAGAACCGGTTCAGATAATCGTCACCGGTGTTGGCCGTGAGCGGGAAACGAACCCGGTGGCCGGGTTCGTAGCGCTAACCGCTACACCACCGCACGCACACACACACACGTACACACACACTCACACTCAAACAAACGTACACACACAGACACACGTACACACAGACACACACTCAAACAAACACACGTACACACACACACGCGTACACACACAAACACACGTTCACACACAAACACGTACACACGTACACACACACAAAACGCGTGCGTAAACACACACAGACACACACACACGTACACACACACAGACACACACACGCGTACACACACAACACACAAACACACGTACACACACGTAACACAGACACACACTCAAACAAACACATGTACACACACACACGCGTACACACACACGAGTACAAGTACACAAACACACCTTCACACACAAACACGTACACACGTAAACACACGTACACACACACAAAAACGCGTACGCAAACACACAGTAGACACAAACACAGTACACACACAGTAGACACAAACACACCTACACACACAGTAGACACACAGTAGACACACAAACACGTACACACACAATACACCTCCACAGTACACACACACAAACACAGTACACACACAGTACACACAAACACAGTACACACACACCTACACAGTACACACATGCACACACCTCCACAGTACACACACACCTCCACAGCACACACGCAAACACACACGTACACACACAATACACACCTCCACAGCACACACACACAAACACACACGTGGATTGGTGGTGACGTCTGAGCTATTCCTGTACCCCCCCACCCATCGCCCTACACGTACTGACCAGCGAGGTGAAGTATGGTCACACAACCTCCACGACCAACACGGAGCGGCGAGGCCTTCATCTAGCAGTGGATTGACAAAGGACTGTAAATTAATATCATTATTTGGCACACACACACGCACACGCGCGTAACGCAGATGTAATGCTCATTTTATATTACACGTATGCATACACAGAAGATAGACACACACGTATATGCGCAAATATGCAATCACACATGTGCAGTACGTCCATGCGATGTAACGGAGCGAATATGATTTTACACAAACCTATATATATGCACACACGCACACAAAGATACCCTATAGACGCCGTTCAAGGGCTGTTGGGGGGGGGGGGCGAGTGCTGTTAGCGAGCTCCTATTAAGGCCGCCTTTGTCTCCACAGTGGCGATGTTTACACACCGCACCAGGTACTCTTTTCAGGCCGAGTCGACCTAGGCGGAGGCCCAGGACCGGTTCTAATATTTGGCACTGTTCTTGGGAAATCGAACTTGGGTCCCCGACGTTAGCAGGCAGTGCGCTAACCACTGCGCCACCGCTCCGCACATACGAAGACATACAAAGATATACACATATACACACACACACAAATACACATGAATGGAATGACAAATATCCCCGTGTAGCCTACTTAGACTGTTGGGGCAAGTAATATTAGTGAGCCCATTTTTACAAAGACACACTCACACACATATATACACACACTCATACATACACACATATATGTATGCACACACACACACATATATGCACACACATGCACACGCACGTTACACATTTGAAACTGTTTACGGAAGTTGCCGTCGTCGTGTGCAATAGCGACACGGCAAAGGTGTCAGCAGCATTGGATTCAAATTCAGCCGCAGCAGCAACAGCAACAACAGCAGCAGCAACAACAGCCGCAGCAGCAACAGAATTAGCGGCAACATCATTAGCTGCAGAAGCAATAGGTTCAACGGCAGCCAGTAACAGCATCAACAACAACATTAGTAACATCAACAGTAGCAGCAGCAGCATCAGCAACATCAACAACAGCAGCAGAAGAAGCAACATCAACAACAGCAGCAGCATCAGCAACGTCAACAGCAGTAACAGCAACATCAACAACAGCAGCAGCAACGTCAACAACAGCAGCAGCAACGTCAACAACAGCAGCAGTAACAGCAACATCAACAACAGCAGCAGCAGAAGAAGCAACGTCAACAACATCAGCAACGTCAACAGCAGTAACAGCAACATCAACAACAGCAGTAACAGCAACATCAACAACAGCAGTAGCATGAGCAACAGAAGACAGCGTGAGCGGTCGGCTCCACCACCAGCACCACCAGCACCAAGCACCACCAGCACCACCACCACCAGCAGCACCAGCACCACCAGCACCAGCACCACCAGCACCACCACCACCAGCACCACCAGCACCACCACCAGCACCACCACCAACACCACCAGCACCACCAACACCAGCACCACCAGCACCAGCACCACCAGCACCACCAGCACCACCAACACCACCAGCACCAGCACCACCACCAGAACCACCAGCACCACCAGCAGCACCAGCAGCACCAGCAGCACCACCACCACCAGCACCACCACCAGCAGCATCACGAGTCTTCCTCCACCGAGCCCCGTGCCAGTGGAGGTCTGCGTCCGAGAGCGACCACCAGAACTTAGCTCCTCCACCACCACCACCATCACCAGCACCGCGAGAGCGACCACCATCACCACCAGCACCACCACCAGCACCATCATCACCACCACCAGCACCACGAGAGCGACCCCCATAGCTTAGCTCCTGCACACGCGGGTCGGTCGCCACTTACTTTTGGAGTTGTCTCCCATATCACCCATGTCCTCGTCTTCTTCGCCGTGTTTCTTCTCGCCACGGCCAACGAGCTCTCCGCCTCGATCTCCTCTGCCGAGGAGGAGGAGGAAGAGGCGGCGGCGGTGATGCTGGTGATGGGAAGTCCTCCTTCACGCGACGATGATGCGAGCCGCGTGCCAGGCACAGTGCACCCTGCCATGCATCTCTGGAGCTACCGCGCCACTGGGTGGCTGCGGGCAGGGGTGCAAATGTTGTTGTTGTTGCTGCTGCTGCTGGTGGTGGTGAAGGTTGTTGTGAGTGGCTGCTGCTGCTGTTGTTGTTGAATGTTGTATCTGCCGGAAGATGAGTTGAGTAGGTCGATAGGTAGCTGGGTGGGTTGGTGGATGCAGGAGGTTTAGGTGCGTTGGGGGGTCGGCGGCTGGGTCGGCTTGCTCGGTAGGTGTGCGGGTATGTGGTTAGGCGAGCTGCCGGGATGACTCACGCGATGTTGCCTGACCGCTGCCGCATTTCCCTTCACGATTCGCGACTCCGTCTCGGCACCCACCACGGCCGTTCCGCTCAGCAGCCGCAGATGCAACACCCCTTCTTCTTTAACCCTCTCTCTCTCGTACTCTCGATCTCTCTGCGTGCGCGCGCGTGTCCCTCTCTCGCTGCGTGTCTTGGGAAGAGCGCAGCACTGGACGCTCAGAGCGAGAGGCTGAAGATGGGGCAGAAGCAGCAGTAGCAGCAGCAGAAGCGGCAGCAGCTGCAGCAGCAGCAGCGGCGGCGGCGGCAAGGGGGCAAGCCGCGAGAGAGCTGTGAGCCACAATGCGAGAGCGCGCCCAGCCTCCACGGCCCCAGCACTTCGTGTGCGCGGTGTTCATTGGGCAGCCGAGGTCGGGTTTAGTTGGCGGAGAGGGGAGGGAGGGAGGGCGGAGAGGGTGGGGGGAGGGAGAGGCACGGGGAGAGGGCGAGGAGGATAGGGATGGAGGTAGGAGGTGAGGGAGGGTTGGGTGTTGTTTGGAGTATGCTGGTGGTTGGTGCTAGCGGTGGTGGTGGTGGTTGGTGCTAGCGATGGCGGTGGTTGGTGCTAGCGATGGTGGTGGTGGTTGGTGCTAGCGATGGCGGTGGTTGGTGCTAGCGATGGTGGTGGTGGTGGGTGAGCGGTGGTGGTGGTGGTTGGTGCTAGCGATGGTGGTGGTGGTGGTGGGTGCTAGCGATGGTGGTGGTGGTGGGTGAGCGGTGGTGGTGGTGGTTGGTGCTAGCGATGGCGGTGGTTGGTGCTAGCGATGGTGGTGGTGGTTGGTGCTAGCGATGGCGGTGGTTGGTGCTAGCGATGGCGGTGGTGGTGGGTGAGCGGTGGTGGTGGTGGTTGGTGATAGCGATGGTGGTGGTGGTGAGTGAGCGGTGGTGGTGGTGGGTGAGCGGTGGTGGTGGTGGGTGAGCGGTGGTGGTTAGCGCACTGTGCTACGGTCCCCACTCGCGAGCAATGACAGGGACATCGGGATATTCGAACCGGTCCTGGGATTTCTCCTAGGTCGACTCGGCCACAAATGAGCGCCTGGTGACAATGGTGTAAACATCGAGACAAAGACGGCCGGGCGTGGTGATGCCCCCCCCTCCTCCTCTTCCCCCATTCGTGTTACCGCGCCGGTCTTCATGTGCGCTCGCTGTCCAGGCTATACGGGTGATCTTTATAATGTTTTATTTTTATTATTTTATTATTTCCATTCTACGTGACTTTACCGAAAGAACCAAGAAGATGATATCATTATTCATTCGTCGTCATCAACCATGGCCAATCCACCGCTGGATGAAGGCCTGTCTCTCTCACACTGTGCACGTGTAGCGGTGACCTGCACGTGTACACAGTGTGCACGTGTAGCGGTGACCTGCACGTGTACACAGTGTGCACGTGCAGCGGTGACCTGCCCGTGTACACAGTGTGCACGTGTAGCGGTGACCTGCACGTGTACACAGTGTCCACGTGTAGCGGTGACCTGCACGTGTACACAGCGTGCACGTGTAGCGGTGACCTGCCCGTGTACACAGTGTGCACGTGTAGCGGTGACCTGTCCGTGTACACAGTGTGCACGTGTAGCGGTGACCTGCTCGTGTACACAGTGTCCACGTGTAGCGGTGACCTGCTCGTGTACACAGTGTCCACGTGTAGCGGTGACCTGCACGTGTACACAGCGTGCACGTGTAGCGGTGACCTGCCCGTGTACACAGTGTGCACGTGTAGTGGTGACCTGTCCGTGTACACAGTGTGCACGTGTAGCGGTGACCTGCTCGTGTACACAGTGTCCACGTGTAGCGGTGACCTGCTCGTGTACACAGTGTCCACGTGCTGCGGTGACCTGCCCGTGTACACAGTGTCCACGTGTAGCGGTGACCTGCTCGTGTACACAGTGTGCACGTGTAGTGGTGACCTGCCCGTGTACACAGTGTCCACGTGTAGCGGTGACCTGTCCGTGTACACAGTGTCCACGTGTAGTGGTGACCTGCCCGTGTACACAGTGTGCACGTGTAGTGGTGACCTGCCCGTGTACACAGTGTGCACGTGTAGCGGTGACCTGCACGTGTACACAGTGTGCACGTGTAGCGGTGACCTGCCCGTGTACACAGTGTCCACGTGTAGCGGTGACCTGCCCGTGTACACAGTGTGCACGTGTGGTGGTGACCTGCCCGTGTACACAGTGTCCACGTGTAGCGGTGACCTGCCCGTGTACACAGTGTCCACGTGTAGCGGTGACCTGCACGTGTACACAGTGTGCACGTGTAGTGGTGACCTGCTCGTGTACACAGTGTGCACGTGTAGCGGTGACCTGCCCGTGTACACAGTGTCCACGTGCAGCGGTGACCTGCCCGTGTACACAGTGTCCACGTGTAGCGGTGACCTGCCCGTGTACACAGTGTCCACGTGTAGCGGTGACCTGCTCGTGTACACAGTGTGCACGTGTAGTGGTGACCTGCCCGTGTACACAGTGTCCACGTGTAGCGGTGACCTGTCCGTGTACACAGTGTCCACGTGTAGCGGTGACCTGCTCGTGTACACAGTGTGCACGTGTAGTGGTGACCTGCCCGTGTACACAGTGTCCACGTGTAGCGGTGACCTGCCCGTGTACACAGTGTCCACGTGTAGCGGTGACCTGCTCGTGTACACAGTGTGCACGTGTAGTGGTGACCTGCCCGTGTACACAGTGTCCACGTGTAGTGGTGACCTGCCCGTGTACACAGTGTGCACGTGTAGTGGTGACCTGCTCGTGTACACAGTGTGCACGTGTAGCGGTGACCTGTCCGTGTACACAGTGTGCACGTGTAGCGGTGACCTGCTCGTGTACACAGTGTGCACGTGTAGTGGTGACCTGCCCGTGTACACAGTGTGCACGTGTAGCGGTGACCTGCACGTGTACACAGTGTGCACGTGTAGCGTTGACCTGTCCGTGTACACAGTGTGCACGTGTAGCGGTGACCTGCTCGTGTACACAGTGTGCACGTGTAGTGGTGACCTGCCCGTGTACACAGTGTGCACGTGTAGCGGTGACCTGCACGTGTACACAGTGTGCACGTGTAGCGGTGACCTGTCCGTGTACACAGTGTGCACGTGTAGCGGTGACCTGCCCGTGTACACAGTGTGCACGTGTAGCGGTGACCTGCCCGTGTACACAGTGTGCACGTGTAGCGGTGACCTGTCCGTGTACACAGTGTGCACGTGTAGCGGTGACCTGCTCGTGTACACAGTGTGCACGTGTAGTGGTGACCTGCCCGTGTACACAGTGTGCACGTGCAGCGGTGACCTGCCCGTGTACACAGTGTGCACGTGTATCGGTGACCTGCCCGTGTACACAGTGTCCACGTGTAGCGGTGACCTGCCCGTGTACACAGTGTGCACGTGTAGCGGTGACCTGTCCGTGTAGCGGTTAGCACGATGCGCTACCAACACGGTGACACGGGTTCGATTCCCGCTCACGGCCAAGATCAGCGACGATTATCTGAACCGGTACGGGGCCTCCCCTAGGTCGACTCAGCCTCACACGAGTACCTGGTGCGGTGTGTAAACATCGCTAATGGGGGAGACAAAGGCGGTCGGGCGTGGTCCTGGACCACCGACTCCCTCGTGTGCCGTGCCGGGCCTTCATAGGTGCTCGCAAACAGCACTTGCCCCAACAGTCTACTTAGGCTATATGGGGATTCTTTATCTTTGGTAAACGCGATACGCTAAGGACTGCGTGGGCAGAGCTATTGGCGGTTGCGCTGTGCGGATCTCCCGCGTGTGTTCGGGTCCGAAAGCAGCTCCCGGCACGTGGAGCGAAACGTCGGACACGCTGCCGAAAACGTAGCGCGACCGCGAAGCCCCGCGCAGACACTGACACCGCTAGACCTCTGATATCGCCGCAATCTCCCGATTATAAGACGCAATAACCCCACTCCCCCACCCCCCATCTTCTCACTCGGGTGGCCGTGTGCGCGCGTGTCGCCGGCTCTCACGCGTGCCCGGCTCCTTTTAAATTCGAGCCAGTTCGTGAGAGCGATGCACGATATTGCTGCATCTCAGGATGGTGACTGATGGGAACGACTTGGGGGTGGGGGGAGGGGGGAGGCTTTGATCCAGCAGTGGATCGATCACAGCCGACGATGACGATGACGGTGGCGTCAGAGTTGCGTTCATAGTCGCATCACGAGAACTGCAGCCTTCCCGAAAGCAATCGCCTGCCATCATCATCATGCTCACTGCAGAACGCGCGCGTGCATGTTGAACTTACGTCGCACCATACGTGCTAATCGCAGAACAACGTCGCATATCCGCCCGATTAACCGACCAGTGCAAGGCATCTTTATATATATATTTTAAAAATGTTCGCATAACCGACCTTCTCGGATATTTCGCCTACCCATCATCTCAGCTCTCTCGGCGAGTGGGAGACGCGGCGATTCCCACTCATCAAAATCGTCGCGGCAAAAAAATAAAAAAAACGGCTCAAGTTCGCTTCGTGTGTTCAATTAATTGTCATTTCACTTCGCTTTCAATAATTAGCTTCATGTATTATATATATATACACACGGGATATATGGATTCTCGTTCGCTGTGTCTGCGCTTCTGTTGTGGAATTCGCTACCGTTTAAAATTCGTTTATCTGATAATGTGGACACTTCTAAGCGTCGTCTAAAAAACACATCTTCGTAAGTCAATTTATTCTATGTAGCGTTTCCGTCTCTCTTAGCCTTTCCTTAACCGTATTCTTACAAGACGCCTTGAGACATCAGTAAAAGGCGCATTACCAATACACGTACATTATTATTATTATTCAAGGAATTTACAGAGAATTAATAACGGTCTTTGGCCGTGTCGGGTGGTGGATGAATACGACACAGCTATAACTAACGCGATCTTACCCGAAAAAACGTTTATTAATAATATTGGTCGCGAAAGCCTACGTGTTCAACGAACGGTGAAACGTATGAATGTAATTGGCGGAGACGAGCTTTAATTAAATCGATGATGGGTGCGAATCTGTGATGGATAAATTAACGACGACGATACATGATGATGATGATAAATGGATGGAATATATACTCGCGATAATCATACATGCACGTGTGTGCAGTTCATAAAACGCGGCGTACCAATTGGCCCTGCAGCTGAAAGTTTTCAATCAGTGGGGACTGAGAGTTGGATTGGCGCAGCAGAGGAGAAAAAAATCCATCAAGTTGACCGCTGGAGAAAGTAACAACCGAGAAAGCTCAACACCCTTTCGCCAATGACACTGAAATAAATAAATAAATCTGTTTAAATATGCGACGTTTCGGGCAGTCGCCCTTCTTCACATCGCATAGAGAGATAGGGAGGCGAGGCGATTGC